ATGGGGGACCCAACAAAGGCAAGGTAAAAAAGCAACAGTGGGAATTTAGAAATATTTGTATTTACTTATAAATTCAACAGGGATTGTTTTTCAGGTAACTATAGTATACCCTGTCTCTTACTTTACAGTGCATAATTTGGTTCCAAATATATTTATAAAGTTACTTTTAGGACAAAAAGAAGGGGATGGAAATCCTTACATTTTGGGCATCTGGGCTTGAATAGCATGTTAACAATAATAGGAAGTCTAATTGAAATTAATCCTAGAAATTACTGAACTTGTGAGTTAGAAGAAACCTTAGAGTTCATCTAATCAAAATCCCTATTTTACTAAGAGGCAGAAGAGGTCACAGAGTTAGTTGGTGATTCCTTCAGTCAAGGTAGAGTATCAAAAGCAATTGACTTAAACTACGTGCATTAACTCTCTAAAGAAACTACTTCACAACAATGTAATTCAATAAAATACCTTTAGCCTTTCTCCATAGTTTTTGCATTTTCCAAAGAAGAATCCAAATTCTCGCCCTTTTGTATGATCCAACAGAAAAAATTATTTCTAAAATTTAGAGCCAGGAGGCAAAGCAAAAGCAGAAATTACTTCTTTTGTCAGCAATGATATCCGTGAGGTTCATCATGTTTCCCTTTTTCACTTTGTGTCCAGGACCCTCAGAGTTAGATCAACCAGATTGTAGAAATTTTCTCCCTTTTCATTCTCTGTTGTTTCTGATTTCCTGTTCAATTCTCTTATTTTTTTTTGCATGCACATTTTTGTTGTAAGTCACTCCAAAATGCCTTTTGAAAGCTATTGAACTATAAATTATTCAGAAAAAAACAATAGTTAGGGACAAAGTCAAGACTGTAATTTAGGTCCTCCAACTCTCAATCGAAATTTCAATCCATTGCTTCATTGTTGAGAAACATTCATATCTCTATTTTTTCCCATTAGAGAAAAATAAAAATTAGCTGTTTCTGGTACTTTTGTAAAAGAAGGATATGAAGCAAAAGAGATGTCTGTCTACATGTGTCTCTATAACTTTGGCTAAAATTTCAAAAACTTCACCACACCCTTAACTCTAAAGCAAAAAAAAAAAAGAAAAAAAATTGTTTTATTTTATTTGTTTAGAAATATGGAAGTATTTTATTGACACTCAAAACTGTCCAGTCTTGTATGAATGCCTATATATTTACAATCAAAATCTGGGACAAATTTGTGTTTTCTTTTGCACACAGGCTGTATCCACAAAGACCAATGCAATAGAAACCTTTTACTTGAAGCTTTTCCTCTGTCACAAAAGTGTTGGGGTTCTTGCTTTCTGAATCCATTAATGTATTTGAATATCACCCAGTCACAAACTGTGGGACATCAGGTTGTCGGGCCCCCACTACAGCCTCCCACCCCTGCCCAGTGGAGAAGGCTGAGACTTCCGCACAAAGGCATACTCAGAGTTCTTGATGTTTTTCATCTGGTGACAACGTGTTACAGGGCTGCTCTATCCCTGGTGCGCTGAAGGGACTAAGGGTTACTACTGCCACTGCAGCCTCAGCCAGCATGGCACAGCTGCCTAATGTTCTCTGAAAAGAATATATTAATAATGTCAAAAGTTGGGTGAAGCCATCAGTCATGACAAGAGCTGCCCTTGAGAGGTTAAGATTTGCTGTCTCAGAATCCATTGGGAGCCATGGTAGATGTTAGAAAGTTGGAACGGGGCATACTTTCATATAACTGCCAATATTCCAATAATAGCCATTGGGAGGAGAAACTGAGAATATACTTCTAGAGGGGGCACATCTGATGAGAAGAACTCAGTGTGGAAAATACAAGCAGAGGATGTTATTTCCAGCTGGCATACATCATATTTCCTTTATTATCATTATTATTGCAGAGGACTAAGAAATGACATTGATTATTATTGATCCTTTAGAAAATCACTTTGGAGCCCACGTTATGGTACATAGCCCATAGTCCCAACTGATTACATTGCATTCAAATCCTGATTTTGTGACATGACACCTGGACTACTCTGGGCAACAGACTTAACTTCACTTTGCCTCCCCTCTTCATCTGCAAAAGGGGGATAATAGTAGTACCTACCGTGTAGGATTGTAGTAAGGATTAATGAAGCTAATATTTGTAAATTGCATTGAACCCTGCCTGACATAAAGTTAGCATTATTTGAATAGTTACTATTTTCATATAAATTTTCCTATTTACTCAGTTGGAAAGTTATTTTCCTAATAAAACATGATTCTCTCATTCATATATATAAAACTACCATCAAAAAACAACTTACTTTTTCTCTTGGGACTCAAGTCCTTCCAGCTCCCTTTTCCAGGCATCCCTGAGGACCATTCAGGAATGGACTGCAACAGTAATGGGTGGTCTTAAGTCCAACTCTTGGGTCCTAGCACCTCCAAGAGGATCCTTTCATTGTTCTCCTTGACCAAAACCTCTTCTCCTAGGCTCAGAGGGTAAGAGTTGCTCCAGTTTTCTGTCCCTCCCACACCATGTAACCCAGAGTTCCTAACTTTTTTTGTCCAAGGACTGCTTTGGCTATCTTTTGAAGCCAATGAATTGCTTCTCAGAGTAGTATTTTTAAATGTATAAAACAAAACACAATGGATGACAAAGGAAATCAAAGATATTGAAATAACACTTATCAAAGTGTTTTTAAAATGTTGCAGGAATATATGTGGTTGCTTATTACTACATTAAACAGCAAGCTTTATCAGAGGACCTAATAACTTCCATCATTCCAAAGGGGTGAGGAGCATGACCAATGTTTGAAAAGAAGTATAATAATATCATGTGCAATAAAATTAAAATATTGCCATTTTTATTGGCAACAAAGTCACAGGTAGTGCTAATACTACTATAGTTTGTTGCCTACATTCAGCAATTGAAGATGATGATAAATTTCAATTCAATATTAGTGAAAATAAAAATATATTATTTTCTCATTTAAGTTGACAGAATCCCAGAATTCTAGCCAAGGTCCCTTAGTGGATACCGTGTCAATGATCCCTGTTCTAATCCCAGATTGAACGAATACTCATTCCTTTCTGGTCTTGGAGAAGGAAGGAAAGAAGAGCATTAGAATGGGTCAGCATCCCTGACCCAGACTGCTGTGCACCTCTATCAAGAGCATCCTTGGGCCTCATCTTCCCAGCCTACCCCCACTGTCACTCTAGGCTATTTTCTAGACCCTTGGCTTCCTACTACCATTAGCTAGTTAGTTTCCTTCTTTCTTTTGATATAATTGACATATAATTTTTGTAAGTTTAAGATATACAATGTGTTGTTTTGATACACTTATATGTTTTAATAACATTACCACCAGTAGCATTACCTAACACCTCCAACAGATCACAAAATTTCCACTTCATTTTTGTGGAGAGAACATTCAAGATCAAATCTTTCAAGAACTTTCAAGTCTGCAATACAGAATAGTTAACTATAATCACATTGTTGTGCATTGGATCCCCAGAACTTACTCACCTTCTTGCAAGTTTGTACCCTTTGACCAATGTCTCCCTAGATTCCTGCCCTCCCCACCCCCTGCCTCCAGCCCCTGGTAACCACCACTCTACTCTGTTTTTGAGATTTCAGGGATTTTTTTTTTTTAATCCCACATATAGATGATATCATAGAGTATTGGTTTCTTTGTCTGATTTATCTGATTTAGCATAATGCCCTCAAGGTCCATCCATGTTTTTGCAAATGACAGGATTTTCTTTTTTTCTCATGATTGAATAATAATCCACTTAAGGCTATTTCTATGTCTTGGCTATATGGAAATACAGCAACAAATATGGGAGGGCAGATATCTTTTCAATATCCTGTTTTCATTCCTTTGGATATATATACCCAGAAGCTGGATTGTTGGATAATATGGTGGTTTTATTTTTTATTTTTTTGAGTACCACCATATGGGTTTTTTTAATAGTGGCTGCACCAATTTACATTCCCACCAACAATGCCATTTCTCCACATCTTTCCCAATACTTATCTTTTATGTTCTTTTTTAAAAGATTTTATTTATTTGAGAGAGAGAGAGAGAGAGAGAATAAGCAAGAGAGAGTGAGCACAAGCAAGGGGATCAGCAGGCAGAGGGAGAGGGAGAAGCAGACTCCCGGTTGAGCAGGGAGCCTGATGCAGGACTGGGATCATGACCTGAGCCAAAGGCAGGCTCCGAAATGACTGAGCCACCCAGGGGCTCCTATCTTTTGTGTTCTTGATCAGAGCCCTTCTAATAGATGAAGTGCTATCTCACTGTGGTTTTGGTTTGCATTTCCCTGGTGGTTAGTGATGTTGAACATCTTTTCATGTACTTATTGTCATTTGGATGTCTTCTTTGGAAAAAAGGTTATTCAGCTTCTCTGCCCATTTTTAATTGGATTGCTTTTTTTTTTTTGTTATTAAGTTGTGTGAGCTCTTTATATATTTTGGATATTTGCCTTCTATCAGATATATGGTTTACAAGTATATCATTTCCCAAAATTTTCTTTCATTCTATATATATTTTTTTATTTTGTTGATTGTTTCTTCTGTTTGAGAAAGGTTTTTAGTTTGTTTTAGTCTCACATGTTGATTTTTGCTTTTGTTGTGTGTGCTTTTGGTGTCATATCCAAAAAAAATACTGCCAAGACCAATGTCAAGCGGAAATTTACCCCTTATGTTTACTTCTAGGAGTTTTATGGTTTCAGGTTTCATGCTTAAGTCTTTAATCTCTTTTGTGTTAATTTTTGTAATTGGTATAAGCTTAGGTCTAATTTCATTCCTTTGCATAAAATTATCCAGTTTTCCCAACACCATTTATTGAAGAGACTAGCCTTCCCCTACTGAGTATTCTTGGTTTCCCTGTCAAATATTACTTGACTATGTGTGTGAGAGTTTATTTCTGAGCTCTTGATTCTGTTCCACTTATCTCTGCCTGATCTTATGCTAAGACCACACTGGTTGTGATTACTATAGCTTTGTAATACAGTTTGAAATCTATAAGTGTAGTGTTTGCTTTGGCAGCACATATACTAAAATTGGGACAATACAGAAGTTAGCATGACCCATGCAGAAAGATGACCTGCAAATCCATGTAGCTTTCCATATTACTTTTAAAAAAGAAAATCAGGTATCACAATGACTCCAGCTTTGTCCAATGCTTTCTTTCTTGCTTTTCTGTCAGTGATTATATCTAATGCTGAAAGTCAGATATTGAAATTCCCTACTATTATCATGTTGTTGTCTGTTTCTCCCATTTTTTTTCAAGATTTATTATTATTATTATTATTATTATTATTATTATTTTGAGAGAGAGAGAGAAAAAGAGAGAGAGAGAGAGAGAGAACCTGAATGCACACGGGTTGGGGAAAGGGAAGAGGAAGAGAATCCTCAAGGAAACTCCCCACTGAGCACAGAGCATGACTCAGGGCTCATCTCATGATCCATGAGATCACAATCTCAGCCAAAATCAAGAGTGGGAATGATCAATCAACTGAGCCACCCAGGCGCCCCTCTCCTGTATCTCTTAGTATTTGCATAACATATTTAGGTGCTCCATCATTGGGTGTGTATATGTACAGTTATTATATCGTCTGGACGGACTTGACCTAAGTGACTTTATCATTACATAATGACCTTCTTTTTTTGTAGGTTACCATTGCTGGTTTAGTTTATTTTGTCTGATATATGTATAGGTGCCCCTATTTTCTTTTGGTTTCCACTTGCATGGGATATCTTTTTCCATTCGTCAGTTTGGGCCTAGATGTGTCCTTAAAGTCAGTCTCTTTTAGGCAACATATAGTTGGGTCTTGTTTTTGTTGTTGTTGTTGTTGTTGTTATTTGCTTGTTTTGAAATCTATCCAGCCACTCTGTCTTTTGATTGAGTAATTCATTCCATTTACATTTAGAGTAATTACTGATATTTAAGGACTTACTAATGTCATTTTCTTAACTGCTTTCTGGCTGTTTCATAGTTGTTGTTTTTTTTTTAATTTATAGATTTTATTTATTTATTTGACAGAGAGATCACAAGTAGGCAGAGAGGCAGGCAGAGGGAGAGGGGGAAACAGGCTCCCTGCTGAGCAGAGATATGGGGTCTGATGTGGGGTCAATTCCAGAACCCTGAGACCATGACCTAAGCCAAAGACAGAGGCTTAACCCACTGAGCCACCCAGGCGCCCCCTGTTTCATAGTTTTATTGTTACTTTTCCCCTCTCTTATTATGTACCTTTGTGGGTTGGTGATTTTCCATGAATTCTCTTTTTTAAAATCTTTTCACTAAACTTCTGTTATTATTCTTTTGTCACATTAAAAATTCCCTTGTTTAGCAAAAGTACTAAAAACTGTACTTAGTATGCTGTTTATAGGAACTAGCCTTTTGAAATGAATGCAAAATTGCTGTGGTATGGAGACCACATTTTGATTTCTCATAAATGAAATGGGAGCCATTATGGGCAATTTATAATGACTACTCAAGTGTTGCTTATTATTTTTGAAGTTAATACTGTTAATATAAGGGAATATGTCACCAAGTTTAGGATAAAAAAAAAAAGCCACTTGAAAAGGCCTTTCATTTTGACATGGAAGTGTGGATTGATTGTTGAGATTCAGAAATACATTTGACAACAAAGTGGGTGGGTAGAGGGTGTTATAATGGCTTCTGGGTCATCATAGTCCTTGAGCTGAATCTTGATGGACTTCTCTGAAAACTGAATAAATAAAGCACTTTTTGAGGTCAGTGTGAAGTGAGGAACAGTAAACATCAAATAGTCCATTCTCTGTGACTCCCATTTAGAACAGTTGATGTCAATGGCAAATATACTGTATATAAGCACATGATGTACTAATGTTCATCGTGTATATGTATTATACATAAGTACGTAAATACATACCATGTTTCTAGATATCTATATTTTGAATTACTGTTATCACAATAATACTCATGCTTGTGGTATTTCAAAGTTCTATACACTAGGGGGAAGAACCTTTAAATGGCATTTTAAAATGAGAACATTAAATTGCCTTCTGCTTTGAGTTTTGTTTTTTTTTTCCATCTAGGGAGTTCAATATTTATACATAGGCTTTTAGTAGAGAGTAGGGCATTGTGTTTTCTCCACTCTGTATTTTGCTTTTCTTTATGAAATGGCAATGCGAAAGGGTGAAATGCATGATCTACTAGCTACTTTATAGTTTCTAATTGCTATATTTTTAATCCTGCAACTCAGTTGCCTGTATGTGTTGACTGAAGTCGGTTTTCCAGCATGCTAAATAGGGAGTGTTAAAAAACTAAGAAATTTGAAATTGTGTCGTATACTGTATAGGCTATAAAATACGAAATTTCAATAATTTTTAAAAATTTTTTACCTATTAATGAGTTTCATTTTCTTGTGTTAAAATGATCTTGGAAATAATCACATATACATTTCAAAGGCTTTAAAATCATCCACACACACAATAAGTGTGTATGAAGGGGATGATTAGAGCTCCAATTTTGCTTCAGAAGGTATGTAAATGGTAGGACTTGGCTATTGCTGGGTCTGCCAGGTGCTTCTGCTTTGATGTTATGGGGGCTGGGCTCCACATGCCACCAGAAAGATGGATCTGAGTCCTGTTACCCTACATTAGCAGTTCACTCAGGAATCATCAAGGCCACTGCAGACCATAAGACTTAAGCCGGGTTCTCCATAATTCAGAGAAACCACAGGGTACTATAATTCAGTGACCATCACACAACAATTCAGATTGTGATTCGAACTGGGCACAGTAATTTCTCAGCAATTTTATTCTACAAGCAAATGAATGCTGAAACATCCCAGTTTATCTTTCATTTATTATGGTCAAACTAAAAATTCTAGTAATGAATGATAGTCTACAATAAGGGAACTGCGGACATTTAGAGAAGTGACAATGGCATACATTCTTGAAGAACCAGTTCAAACACCTGCTTTGGATAGATACAGTTACAAGTGATGCTTTCCATTATAAACTGTAAATTGGTTCTGGATGATAGAGTAGTAATTGAAGGCTTTAATGTGAAGACATCTACTATAAGTTCAGTTCACTAAAATAAGAGTGCTTGGATTGTCTATGTCTTCTATAACTTAAAATGACATTTCTATGAAGGGAAATAGGAGCTTTTGTTGAATTAATTTTACCCAAAGAGGAGAATATATTGGTGCTTTAGACTGTGGGAACCTCAGGAGCCCATGAAGCTATTAATGTAGAAATCACAGTGGAGATAAAAGAAAATGTTGGGTATCTCCAGATATGAATCTTGCCTTTTCTAAAGAAGATATCAGAAAAATTTGGAAGAAAAATTCATCTCCGTGTTCAAAGATTCTGAAAAGAGAGATCATCTAAGAATGGATAAGAGACATTCAAAAAGCAAATCCTGACTATACAATTACAAATGATCCTAATGCAGATGAAAAAGTAAACATTTCTATGGAAATATAAGTAGACACATAATAAATCAACCTTTGAAAGGAGATGCACATAAAAAGAGCACAGAAAATGTGCATAACTAAGTAAGGATTCTGAAAAAAGAGGAAGAAACCTTTTAAAAAATGCCAGAAAGTCTAAGACCTAAAATGGGATGTTGTTTTGAAAAATGTTAAAAATTTTAAGAAATGATTTTGCAAAAATAATTGGTGCAAAGATAACAAGATAGATGTGATAGGCTCACTCCTGGGATTAATAAGCACAAGTTACAAAATTATAATGAGAAAGCAAGAACTACCTATTCTTCATTGCTTCCATTTTGTCTAAGTACAAGAATGAACTTTAAATCAAAAGGAAGAGACTCTTCATCATTCACATAAGAAATCAGACAATGAGAAAGTACTTAGTTATTTAAATAAGTCAACTCTCAGAAGAATGGTTAGGTCTTAAAAAGAGTTTGAAGATACAATCTTAGATTCACTGTCAGTGTATATATATTTTTTCTCACAGTCATTTTGTCTATGAATATACTAGGTTGTCAAAGGTAAGCAATCTATAGATTATTATACTATTTATCTCCAGTGAGGGCTAATAAACAGAGCATAAGGTGAGTATTTTGAAAAGAATGTAGTGATCACTAGGACATCTCCTGGGTTCACTAAAAACAAGTCATCCGACTTAAATGATGTTCTTTCTTTTTGTAGGGTTACTAATCCCAGAAAGTCTGCTTGTCAGGTTTGTGGATAATGTGGTTTTTTTAGGCATTGTAGATATATTTAGTGACATTACTAAAACTGAAAAGGTTTCTGTTGGTTTGCATGAAAGAAAGAAACAGACAAGATGATTTCTATCATCTGTCTATCAATCAATCTGACACCAGAAGGGGCAATATATATTTAACAACATTAATGTACAAATGGTCAGTGGTTTCAGTTTCTCATGGTTGCTCACAATTTTTATGAGAGCCCCTTGTGTCTCTGCCTCCTAAAAATAGCGAACACAATCTTAGCTTGCTCGACAGCCATGCAATGCTGAAATTAACAGAGCTCTTCACTGAGCAGTCCTCATCTGGAGCATCCAGGCTTGCTTTTGAGCTGTGAGCTTTAAGACAGACCCTAATAAATACGAATTTCCTCACCTGAGGAGATTGAAAACCATGTCATATGAGAAACTGTTGAAATGGCTGGTGGATATTAGTGTGGAAATGATTAAGCATGATGATTATATTCCAGTATGAGAAAAATCATCTGCTCTACTTGTTTCTCACCCAAGAAGTAGAAATGACTAATGAATATGAGCCAAAGCCTATCTGTCCCATTCAAAAGGGACCAAGAGTGTCCCTGTTTTCAGATCCTGGGTTTCAGATAAGTCCCCTCCATTTTCAGATTTTCAGTTTAAGTTTAGCAGAAGTGTTAACTGGCTGCTTAATCCTTGAACTTGACCAGGTTATTATTCAAACACACCTGACCTAGAGTATCTAATTCTAGTAGTAATCATTTGATAAATAACTCCGTATGGACAAAGAGTGAGTCCAAGTATTTCCTGAGCCTTAAGCTATTTCTCAGTATTTCTCATTTTTATTTCTCAAAATACATCATTGTATTTCTTCTGTCATAGTTAATTGTGCAATCAAGCTGTGTGCACAAAGTGGTAGTTAGTTTCCCCAGATAC